AAAAAAAAAAAAAAAAGAAAGAAGAAGGGGAACCTGAAAAACCACCACAGCCTGAGGAGCACAGGGAGCCAGGAGGACTCCAGACAGCAGGACGCTCAACCTGCCTGCAGAATATTCACAATGCAGAGGTCTGAAGAGGCAGATGCACAGACCCTCAAGTTACAACTGCCCTTACATACGAACAACTTGGGTTAATTAGGTTAATGGAAGATTCATCTGCCTCCTGTTATCTATAGAGTATACCCAGGTAAAGACCCAGATCTGAGCTGTATTGACTTACAACCAACTTGAGTTCCAACCAGCTCTGAGGAACCAATCGAGTTCGTAAATCCAGGGGCCACTGTCGTGGATTAGCAGTTGCCAGGGGCTCAGGAAGAATAAGTGCTAACAGTGCAAGCTTTCCTCTTGGGGCACTGGAAATGTTCTGGAACTGGATAGAGGTGGTGATTACAGCACTGGGAATGTACCAAATGCCACGGAACTGTCCATTTACAGTGGTTAATGTTGAACTGGACGTGGTGGGGTACATCAGTAATCCCAGCATTCTGGGAGGCTGAGGCAGGAGGACCACAAGTTTGAGCCCAGCCTGAGCAACTTAGCTAGACCCTAACTCAAAATGTAAAAAAAAAGAAAAAAAAGAATGAGCATGTAGCTCAGTAAAGGCCCTGGCTTCAATCCTGCACACCGCAGAAAAAAAGTGATTATTTTTATATTAGGTGAATATCACCAAAAATGTCATATAGACACAATATGACAGTTCTAAAACTTTATTTATTTATTTATTTTGCATTACTGGGGAAAAAAATCCAGGCCCTTCACACTAAGCTACAACCCCAGCTCTTTTTAGTCTGATTGTTTATTTGTTTGGTTTCTTGTTTGTTTTTGGTACCGGTGATTGAACTTGGGACCTTGGGCTGTCAGACAGACGCTGGAACCACTGAGCTAAATCCCCAGCCCAAGATTCTTTTTTTGGTACTGGGGATAGAACTCAGGACCTTGCGCTTTGGAGGCAAGGGCGGTGCCACTGAGCTAAATCTCTGGCCCTGTTTGTTTGTTTTGAGACAGGGTCTCACTATGTAGTCCAGTCTGGTCTTGAACTCACTATGTATCCCAGGCTGGACTTCATGGTGATCCTCCTGCCTCAGCCTCCTGAGTGCTGGGATTACAGTTATGTGTCACCACGCCCAGCTTCCTTTTTATATTTTTTATATTTAGACAGGGTCATGTTAAGTTCTCTTTCTACAGATCAAACCCAAGGCTTTGGAACTCCACAGCCCAGGGATTTCTCATAAACCCACACTAGAGAGTGGGGGAGGAAAGTGACATTGGCATAGTGAGGAAAAAATAAAATTTGTGTGCCTGAGAATCAGTCAGCCCTGAGCCTGGCCCCTTACTTTGCCATTTGCTAGCTGTGTGAACTGGGGTAAGTTATTTTACCTCTCTGCACCTGTCTCTTCAGCTGCAAGGTGCGTGACTGATAAAACTATTCAATGGCACCCACGGCAAGGCCCAGCCATTTGACAATGATTGGGGGCAGCAGTTGTCTCCTTCCCGGCCCCCTTTCCCCAGTTATCCTGCGGGACCGAGGGCTTCCTGCCCCCAACCAGCACGAGACTGGGCTGAGCACAAATGGGTGGGGTGAGAATTAAGATTCCAAGATCTGCAAACTCCAAAATTAATCTCTTTATTTAAAAAGTATAGACCACAAATCCAGGACATCGTTTCCAGAAATCCTTGTGGGTAAATCCATGAGACAACAGGACCAAGGCCAACCCACAGTGGGCTGAGAGGAGAGCAAACAGCCTTATCTGGAGGTGTGGGGCCCCCAACTATAAGAAAGGAGGCCACTTGTCCCTTCAGCTCTGTTCCTCACTCAAGATGAAAGTCCTTGTGCTCGCTGCTCTGCTCACAGGTAAGCACTTCCTTTCCCTCTGCATGCCCAAGATGCCCCCCTCTTGAACGGGGCCTCAGCCATCGCATACAGGGCAGCCGAGACTGGAGTCTCAATTTGTCGCTGCTTGTGGGACCGGAGAGCTCCTGGTTAGGGCTCCCTCCTCCTTCCCCAAGTGTCCAAAGCTGGCACCCTTGCAGACTCCAGATCTGGACTCAAGGGACCCCTTTGAGAAAGGGCTTCCCTGTCCACCCACCCAAGCTAAGAAACTCCGATTCTTTCTCTGTCCCATGGCCTGGCACAGCGACAGGCCAGAACCTACCTTTGCCTGCAAGAGCCTTGTTGATTCATTTACTTTTTTCTGTCCCACCCACACCGAAGTTTGGGCTCGGTGAGTAGACAGAGCTGTGGGACCATGCACTGCTCGGGCACAGTGAGTCACACACATTGAATCCGTGCCAACTCATCTACTAACAATGTCAATTCAGGTATCAGGCCCTGGGTCAAGACCCGGGAATCAGAGACAAACAAGCCACGTTCCCACTTCGGGAGCACATTTGTGTGAGCACATCCACACACACATGCACACACGCACACGATGCACACATACAACGCACACAAGCTGAGGGTTGGGGTAGGGGTATCCCTGGCTTCTGCAAAGACTGCAGCTGGCGATGACAGAGGACAACAGGAGAGAAAGCAGGGACCTAGGCAGTCCCAGACACTTCTGTCTAAATGGGCTCCGCCTCTCTCCTACGTGCAGCCCAGTTGGCCGCTCCCCTGGAGACTGCTCCTTGGACAAAGGAGTCAGCTACTGCCCTGAGCTGGGCCCTGAGGAAGAAGCCCAGCATGGGGTCCCCTGGTGCCTGGCAGATTGCAAAAAAGAAGAGCAAGTCACAGGGCAATGAGACTTGCATGGGGCATGACGGTGTCAGATAAAACAGGCCCCTGAAAATGTTGTGCCCTTTTCTCTTTAGGGCACCAAGTCTCACAGGGTAGGGCTCTGGGAAAATGGGGTGAAAAGCTCTGCTGCCCTGAGTTTTCTGTGTTAAGCTTGGTGTGGGCAAACATTCTTTCAGCAAGGTGCAAGATTTGTTCATTCATTCAACAAATTTGTGGAGCGCATCATAAGCCAGGTGTGTGTGTGTGTGTGTGTGTGTGTGTGTGTATGTTACTGGGGGTCGAAACCAGGGCCTTCACTCTATCTGCAGCCCCTTTTTATTTTGAGTCAGGGTCTTGCTAAATTGCCCAGGCTGGGCTCAATCTTTCGATCCTCCTGCCTCAGCCTCTTAGAGTGCTGGGATTACAGGTGTGTGCCACCATGCCCAGCTCCAGGAACTTTCAATTCACTCATTGGTTATTTCATTCATTTAACTCATTACATATATAGGGAGATAGAGATACAGATACAGATACGTGTTAGGCACAACACCAGGGGAATAAAAGCCGGGAGGCCTGTCCTTGAGGAGCTCATGTCCTGGCAAAAGTCATGCTTTAAATAAAGATGGGGTACATATTAGTAAAAGTCCTGTGAAGCAAAGGACACAAAAAACAGGGATAGGGCTGGTGATTTAGCTCAGTGGTGCCCCACCTGCCTCACAAGCCCAATGTCCTGAGTTCGATCCCTGGTACCAGAAAAAAAAAAAAGCAGGGATAGTGAAGGAGCCACTTAGCTGGATGACCAGGAAGGGCATCTTCGAAATGACGGCATGCAAGCCAAGATCTTTCCAGCCTTTTGAAAGGTGGGATAATAAGTGTGCCAGGCAGGGCAAATAGCAGCTGTGTGGGCCTTGCCTCAGAAAAGAGAGTGCTGCAGGCCAATTGGCTGCAGGGAAGTGGGTGGGAAGAGGTGCTAATGAGAGGCGGCAGAGGCCGGACCTCAGGGCTGTCACGGGAAGGAGTTTGGGTTTGTTTGGGGTTTTTTTTGGTACGGGGTGGAGTTTGGGTTTTAAGCCAAGAGCAGTGACATTTCTTGGAAGTTTGAGCAATAGCAAGGTTCAACCTCAGTTTAAGAAAAAAAAATTCCATCTCAGATCATACATTTTAAATTATTTAAATGGTCAGTTTTTTATCTTCTGTGGATTTTATCTCAATATAAAGAATCAGGAGTCAGGTGTGGTGGCACACACCTGTAATCTTAGAACTCGGGAGGCTGAGGCAGGAGGATTGCCAAGAGTTCCAGGCCAGCCAGTCTGGGCTACATAGTGAGTTCAAGACCTGCCTGAACTACACAGCAAAACCCTGTCTCAAACCAAAATAACAACAACAATTATAATAAAAGAATGTTTTTTGACGTTTTCATTAAAAAGAAAAAACCTTTTTCACAGTATTAGCTTCTGGATCCAACACTTTTCTCTCTTTTTTTTGGTAACGGGGATTGAACTCTGGACCTTGCTCTTGCAAGGAAGACAGCGGAACCACTGAGCTAAATCCCCGGCCCTGCAACACTTTTCTGAGGCACCTGGCAGGGATCCAGTGGTGGACCCCTTCAGGCGCTGGCAAAACCATCCAAGACCGATCTGATGGCTGTGTTTTCTTGCAGTGGGCACTGCTGAGCACAGGATCAGCCCCCGGGCTCTGTGGCAGTTCCGCAACATGATCAAGTGCGTGATCCCGGGTAGTAAACCCTACCTGGACTACAACAACTATGGCTGCTTCTGTGGCTTGGGGGGCTCAGGCACCCCTGTGGACGACCTGGACAGGTGAGCGACCCACCTGGAGAGAGACCGAGAGTGTCCACATAGGGGTGGGGGCAGGGCGCACGCCAGGGATCTCACGAGGCACAGAAAGGGGATGCACACATTTCCCAAGGATAACATATTTTCACTTCTTGTCATATAAAGAAATAAGTTCCAAGAAGACCCTGCGTCCAACGCTATTATGAATGGAAATCGAAACTTCCGAGATGTAAAATAGTGGGCAATACTGTCGTCTAGTGGTAGACTATAGCAATACACGCCGTCACAGCCAAAATCCCAGCATCATCGCGCAAAAAAGCGTCACTTGCCGGGGCGTGGCTGCACACGCCTGTAATCCCAGCCCTCCAGAGGTTGAGACAGGAGGATGGCCAGGAGTTCGAGGCCAGCCTGGGTTATATAATGAGTTCAAAGCTAGCCTGAACCACATAGCGAGGGTCCATTTCAAAAAAGTGCCCCTTCATCTTGAGAATATATAATTTTACTGTATTCCTACAATCATGTTAAAATCACTTTCAACAAACACGTGATGAGAGGGATTACAGTTTCTCAAGCCATAGGAACATTTCGCCTGGAGCTTCTAGGCCTATTTCTGGGAGAGAGCAGCTAAGGGCTGACCTGCTGTCCCGCCCCTGCTGCTGCTCAGCTGTTCCCCCCCTCTGCAGGTGCTGTCAGACTCACGACCAGTGCTACTCCAAGGCCAAGAAGATGGAGAGCTGCAAATTCCTCATCGACAACCCTTACACCAACACCTACTCCTACTCGTGCTCTGGCACCACGATCACCTGCAGCAGTAGGTTTAGCCCCTCCCTGGCCCGTGGGTTCTAGTCAGCCCTCAGGAAGCCTAGGGGACAACATTATTAATCTTTGTCTTGGTGTTGGGCAGTATCTCCTTGAATCCTCATAACAACCCTAGATACTAGTATTATCCCCATTTTACAGATGAGGAACTGAGGCTCAGAAGGTTGAGCCATTTGTCCAGGGTTACACAGATTGTAAGTGATGTTGGTTATTGGGGGGGGGGGGGGCTTTTTTTTTTTTTTTTAGGTACCGGGGATCGAACTTGGGTCCTTGCGCTTGCACAGCAGGCAGCAAAACCACTGAGCTAAATCCCCGGCCTTAGCCACTAAGTTCTGTAGTGACAGTGAGAGGTCCCTCTGGGAAGGTGGTTTGTCTCTGAGGAGAAGGCACAGAGAGGTGAAGCACCCTGTTGTGTGAGGCCAGCATTCTGAGTTTCCTTTGCACTCACCAGCAGGGAAGTAGCTCAGTGCAGACTACACACTTAGCATGCATGAGACCCTAGGCTCAACCCCCAGCACCAAAAAAATATGCCATTTAACTTCTTTTTGCAGAGTGATGAGCAAGGGTTCCTTTCTGTGGATTTCAGACTCTTTTGTTTTGGTTTTGGTTTTTTTGAGACAGGATCTCGCTGTGTAGTTCAGGTTGACCTCAAACTTACTATGTAGCCTGGGCTGGCCTTGAACTCTCGGTGATCTTCCTGCCTCAGCCTCCCAAGTGCTGTGATTACAGGTGTGCACCACCACGCCCAGCTCACTTTTAAATCTAGTGAGAGCTATGGATCCTCTGCCCAGGACACACACACACACACACACATGTGCACACGCGTGTGCACAAATAATTTCTCTTTAATGGAGCTGCCCCTCTCCCCTAACCAAGCCGAGGACTGATTAAAGGGTGCTGGCTTATGTTAACTAACAACTCCCTAGAGAATTATCTCATCATGAATACTTTGTAATCTAAGTGCTAATTTTACATTTTAATGGAATTTACTGGGAAAGAGAAACTTTCATGATTCTTAAAAGAAAGGATAAGATGGACACAAAACTTTAATAAGATTATTGAGGGTAAGAGAGATACATAGCTTCTGGATAATAAAGTTCCAGCTCAGCAATGTAGTGCACACCTGTAATCCCAGCTACTGTACTTGGGAAGTTGAGGCAGGAGGATCACAAGTTCAAGGCCAGCCGGACAAATTGTCTCAAAATTTAAATAAATAAATCAAAAGTTCCGGGAATGAAAAAAAAAGTGCTGGAAATGTAGCTCAACATTGCCTGGGTTCGGGCCGGGGATTTAGCTCAGTGGTTTCGCCACCTGCTGTGCAAGCGCAAGGACCTGAGTTTGATCCCTGGTACCAAAAAACCCCCCCAAAAAACAAAACACTGCCTGGGTTCAATTCCTAAAGGAGAAAGGAGGAAAGGAGAAGGAGGAAAAGAAGAAAATTTAAGTGTCTTAAATGTTATATTTTCTGTGTGTGTGTGTGTGTGTGTGTTGCTGGAACTTGAACCCAGGGCCTCACTCATGCTAAGCATACCCTCTACCACTGAGCTACATCCTCAGCCCTCAATGTTATCATTTGTTTTCTTTTATTTATAAAAATAAACAAGCCCAAGCCAGGAGTAGTAGCACACACCTGTTATCACAGCACTTGAGAGGCTGAGGCAGGAAGATTGCTGTGAGGTAGAGGCCAGCTTGTGCTATATAGTGAGTTCAAAGGCAATCTGAAGAACAAAGCAATACCCTGTCTCAAACAACCTAAATAAACAAACAAATAAGCCCAAAGTAAAGCAATTTCAAACCCCAGAGAAATATGCAAGTATATAATGCAAAGTGGAAGGTGCCTATAATTCTACTACCCAAAGATAACCAATTAGAATAATATCCCTCAAGGCCTGGGGATTTAGCTCAGTGGTTCTGCTGCCTGCCCCAAAAGCGCAAGGACCTGAGTTCGATCCCTGGTACCAAAAAACAAAAACAAAAAAACTCTCCCTTGATTCAAAGAATAATATCCCTCAAGATATTTTACTCAATATTAGCTTTCTCCCCATTTATAAAAACCTGGGAAACATCTTCACATTTAGGGATATCTAATTCTTCTAAATGTCTGTGTAATATTCCACTTAGGAATGTTCTGCAAGTTTAGGCATATGTACTTTTTTTTTTTTGGTACCGGGGATTGGACTCAGGTCCTTGTGCTTGTGCAGCAGGCGGTGAAACCACTGAGCTAAATCCCCACCCCTAGGCATACGTACTTTAAGGAGGTATAGAAACTGGCTTACCAAACCTCACTAAACTGAAATGTACAATACTTCGCTGCCTTAAGTACATGTTTTAGCCAGATGCGGTGGTGCACATCTGTAATCCCAGGACTTGGGAGGCTGAAGCAGGAGGATCACAGGTTCAAGGCCAGCCTGGGCTACATAGTGAAACCCTGTTTCAAAAAGTTTATATTTTAATGTTTTCCATAAGGGCTTATAATTATTTGTCTGTGTTGTCAGATCTGCACCATACAGGTTTCAAAATCAGTGAATTCATACTGAGTGAGAGATAGGACTTTTCAAAAGTCAGCTATTGAATCTAAAACACAAGAAACCCAGAATTCTCAGATAAACAGCGGCAGGGAGATATTTGAGCTTGAACCCAGGGACTTCACAGTGAGCTATGTCCCCCATCCTTTATTTATTTGTTTGTCTGTTTTTGGGTATTGGAGAATGAACTCACTGCCTTCACGCTGAACTACACCCCATCCCTTTTAATTTTTCTTTGTACCAGGGATGGAACTTGGGTCCTTGTGCTTATGCAGCAGGCAGTGAAACCACTGAGCTAAATCCCCAGCCCTAATTTTTTTTGTTTGTTTTTTTTGGTACCGGGGATGGAACTGGAGACCTTGTGCTTGTCAGGCAGGTGCTGTGCCACTGAGCTAAATCCCAGCTCCTTTTTATCTTTTGAGACAGGTTCTCTCTAAGTCATTATATTGCCCTAGCTGGGCTCAAATTTGCAGTTTTCCTTCTTCAGCCTCCCAGAGTGCTGGAATTATAGGCATGCATTGCCAAGCCCAGCTAATATTTTTAATAATATTTTGAGACAAAGTCTCACTAAGTTGTCCAGGCTGGCCTTGAATTTGTAACCCTCCTGCTTCAGCCTCCCAAATAGCTGCGATTATAGGTATGCACCACCATGCTCAGCAACAACAAATATTTTTTAGTATACATTTGTCTCAAAGATAACATTCATTGTTTATCAGAAAGTCACACGTGGGCCCGAGATTTAGCTCAGTGGTTTCATCGCCTGCTGCGCAAGCACAAGGACCCGAGTTCAATCACCGGTACCAAAAGAAAAAAAAGAAAGTCACACATAACTGTGCATCCTGATGTATTTTCATTTGCTTAATCTCTCAACACTAAATCTGCACCAACCTGACATCCACCGGCCTATTCCAATGAATCATTCCAGCCCTGGGTTGTACCAAGCAGGGTCCACCTCTGCTCAGTCTTCTCTTCTTGTCCCTCTTTAGGCAAAAACAAGGAGTGCGATGCCTTTATCTGCAACTGTGACAGAGAAGCTGCCATCTGCTTCTCCAAGGTTCCATACAACAGTGAGCACAAGAACCTAGACAAAAACAAATACTGTTAGCACGAAGTGTTCCCTCTGAAAAACTCCCCTCTACCTGCCTAATGGCCTGCACTTTACACAGTGCCCTCTAATAAAGCACCTTGTTGAAAGACCGCGTGTCTGCAGACTGCTGTATCTCTGTCTACTGAGTACAACCAGATCTTTTGTGAATATCATTCCTCATTCCTCCCAGCCTTGGAAGTTGAACTGGAGTTAGGGGGACATTTCCAGGAATTGAGCACCTTGAAATCTGAACTATGATTATCAACAAGTGTCTACTGACTGCTTAGCCTATACCAGGACTATATCTCTGTCTCCTCTGGTGGCCCTGTGACATACTGGTACTGTAAGCAAATCTTATTTCTGAAGTTGAGGCCAATAGCAGAGGTCTTTTTTTTCTTTAGTACCAGGGATCGAACTCGGGACCTTGTGCTTTCGAGGCAGGCGCTGGAACCACTGAGCTAAATCCCTGGCCCTAGCAGAGATCTCTTGCCCAGGGCTCACTGAGAGCTCAGTGACTCTGCAAACTGAACACACACCTTGAACTGCCTGTCTGAAGTGACACCCCCTGCTTTAGTTTGAGCCAGATTTCTTTTTTTTCTTTTTTTTTTTTCTTTTGAGGCAGGGTCTCACTATGTAGTTCAGGCTGGCTTTGAACTCATTATGTAGTCCAGGCTGGCTTCGAACTCAGTGATTCTCCTACCTCTGCCTCCCAAGTGCTGGGATTACAGGCATGAGCCACCACGCCTGGCCCAGATTTCATTCTCTCATTCTTCTATTTCCAACTGTATGAAATCATTCTTTTCTACAATTCTTACCTTTTCTAAACCCTTCCAAGTCTTTCCCATACCTTACAAGCTGATTTTTACATTGTACTAATCAAATACAACAAGCAGTAACAGCTTCCATTGATTACTTACTGCATACCACTACTCCAAACTAAGAGCTCTCCACATAGCATCTCATTAAATGTTCAAATCAGTCAGGCATGGTGGTGAATGACTGTAATCTCAGCACTTGGGAGGCTGAGGCAAGAGAATCACCATGAGTTTGAGGCCAGCCTGGACCATATAGTGAGTTCAAGGTCAGCCTGAACTACATAGCAAGATTGTCCAAAAAAAAAAAAAAAAGAAAAAAAATCATCAGAATAGAGGGGCAGAGAAGGAAGCTGAATTAGAAAAGCAAAGAGGGACTATGAGAAGTCACCAAGAAGTAGCTTCAAACCACTGGAGACAGGGCCATGGATTTAGCTCAGTGGTTCTGCCACCTGCCTCACAGCGCAAGGTCCCGAGTTCGATCCCCAGTTAAAAAAAAACAAAAACACTGGAGACAGAACAAGCCACTTCTGGGCATGTGGTAGGCAGCAAAGGACTTTCAGCTTGAAGGAGGAAATGTTCATGGTCTTATTTTTGGCCCAACTTCCCTCTGATTCTATTATTCATCTACTCAATGACTATGAATTGAATATTTACATTTAGCCAGGAAACGTTCAAAACAGAGAATACAATGCGTCTGGGGTTCAAATCAAAGCAATGACTTCTTGCAATTCAGTTTGTCTGCGATTCAGTTTGTGCTGAGTTTTTTTTCCTGCTTTTCTAACTAATATCCTTATGTATGTTATACTCTATGCTCCAAATGATTTTTTGCGCAATTATTTAGTTATCCTCACCCCTCTGTTGTTGTACTATTTGTTTTTGTTTTTTGGTCTTTTGAGACAGGCTCTCACTATGTAGTTCAGGCTGGCCTTAAACTCACTATGTAGCCCAGGTTGGTCTCAAACTCAGGGTGATCATCCTATCTCAGCCTCCCAAGTGCTGGGATTATAGGAGTGCACCATGATGCCTAGCTTACATTCTAAGTACTATTCCATCCATATTTTACAAATGAAATTGATTCAAAGTGGGAACTGATTTGCCATAGGTTACTCATGCCTTGGAGTAATGCAAATCATAATTTAGAGAAGTGCCACCAGATAGTGAACTTGTTGAAAGCAGAATGAAGTGTCTTCGTCACCTTTGAACCTCCCAAGTACACTTGGCATGTAGGGGGCACTCGATAAATGATTAATGAATAGTGGAGGGAATGTTAGTCATCTGTAAGCAAGAACAGGACTGTTCTCAAGTTTGATAAACAAGCATAGGCTGAATGGGGACTCTTTTTCTTTGCATAAGTAATACACAGGATTGCAAGAGAATGCAAAATTCAGTTAGACCTGTCCTTGACCTTTATGGAATTGTAAAATCCATCTTTCTTCCACGGAAAGAAATCATGAAAGAAAGGTGGGGTTTTAGGAAAACGGTGCTTATTCGCTCCCTTATTATTATTAATTTTTTTAGCCAACAAAACAAGAGACAGAAAAATTATGCCGGGGCCAGGGATTTAGCTCAGTGGTTTCGCCGCCTGCCACGCAAGTGCGAAGGCCTGAGTTCGATCCCCGGTACCAAAAAAAAAAAAAAAAAAGAAAGAAAGAAAAAAAGAAAAAGAAAAGTTATGCCAGTGTTAAAATATAGAGCTAGGACGTGAATCTACTTTTTTTCATTATCCCACAGATTGGGAGGTAAATTTCTTTAACAATCTTGGGGCTCAGGATGTAGCTCAATGGTAGAGCTCTTGCTCAGCATGCACAAGGCTCCAACCATTCCAAAAACAAAACAAAACTTTTAATGAGCATCTGCGGGACGCTCATTATGAGAAGTGGAATACTGTACCCGGGAATTTCTATGGGAGTGGGTAGGATGATTTGAACGAATAATTAACTAAACTGGATAAAGAGTAATTGAAGGCAGAATTATACGGCAGCAGCCACAGTATTTTTACAGTGCCACACGACACACGCTCATTAAATGTGTTCCACGAAAGTACAGTATTGTAAAAAAAAAAAAAAAAAAAGTACATTATTGTGTAATCTCTCCCAGCGGAGGAGTAAAAAAATCCCACGTGGTTATATTTGCCTTTCCATGTCACGTGACCGTGCACGCCTAACCCCGTCAATTTCTGAGTTTCTTTGCCCTAATGGATTTCGGAGTAAGACGTATGATTGGATACTTTACAACACGTGACTCCCACAGTCTCTCTTTTATTGGTGAACAGAGACCCAGCCTCTGGCCTATCTCCTAGCCTCCAGGGCTCAAGCCCCGCCCCCTCGCTCGGATATAGGCCCCTGAGTCATGGCTATTAATGGCTCCGGTGGGGTCTATGTGGTGTGTAGTTTCGCTTCTGTTCTCAGCTTTCTAGATACCTTACTAAGGTTTCTCACTGGTAAAAGAGCACTCGAGTGTGAAAAGAAGGCGAACTCTTGTGGATGGCCCATTCGCCTCCCGCTAGTTCCAATTACCAATTCCCCCCTCCCCCGAGGTTTTTATCCCGGAAAGGGAAGAGGGGAGCGGGGGAAAATGAGGTGCCAGGAAACAAGAGGGAGCGGAGGAAAGGGATGCTAAAGCCCAGAGGTTGGTGGGTGTTGGGAGAGCGAAGGGCCTCTGAAGAGTCCCAGATTCACGCTTAGATCTCTCCCCAGTCCGGTGTGGTGGTGCACGTCTGTAATCCCAACACTATGGGAGGCCAGATGTGTGTGGGGTGGGGTTCCAGATCCAAACCGCTACAAGGAGCGTCAGCTTCAGGAGCGACCAACTCCCTCTTGAGACTAAAATAAAATTTTAAAATAAGGTGAACATTCTTAGCCCTCGAGACTTGATTTCATGATACATGCCAGCATCGAGGAGCTGAAAGAGCCTTCCTTCCGTTCCCTGGTTAACTATACCTGCTCTCCACTGCCCGCTGCATGTTGGCCATTCCTGGTGTCCTTAGCTAGGTGGACTCTCAGGCTTCTACTTTAACTTTAGGTTGACTGTTATCTGTGAGAATCTAACCATAACCTACAGACAAATGAGAAGTGTCTTTAAAACAGCCAGCCATGGTGGCTCTCACCTGTAATCCCAGTACTGGGGAGAAAGAGGCAGGAGGATGGTTGTAAGTTTGAGGCCAGCCCAGCCTTCAGGGTGAGTTCAAGGACAGCCTGAACTACATGGCGAGACCCTGTCCGAGACATACCAAAACAAATAAACAAACGAAACTGAAAGGAAAGCCTTGTATTCTGCTCCTGGCTGGGAAACTATGTAATGTGATCTTGGGTAATTCTGGATCTTAATTTTTACAAAAATAGTGGTAGAAGCCAGATATAGTGGTCCATACCTGTAATCCCAACACTCTGGAAGGCTGAGGCAGGAGGATTGCAAGTTCAAACCCAGCCTGGGAATTTAGTGAGACCTTGTCTCAAAAAGGGAAGGGGCTAGGGATGCAAAGGCCCTGG